CCATTTGGTTGACTGATTTATGGATGACAAGAGATTTGATATGAAATATTATTGATGAATGATCTTTTTTATTATAGGAGACTTACAAACATGAATAATATTTATATGCAAGAGCCAGCCACTAAGGGTAAAGTAATAAGTGTCATTTAATAATATTTCAATGAATTGTATATCTGTTATTAAAAATTTAATCGATATACAATATTAACTTTCTAAATTTTTATATTAATATATCAAATAATTTCTAATTTGAATTGCAATAATAAATAATAAATTTTAATAAATTTGATTTTAAAAGTATTTTACATTAATAAAGCTAATATATTTGTCATAACTAGGTTGCAATGAAAACAACTGTTGGTGATATAGAGTTAGAACTATCGGCAAGAGAAACTCCAAAGACATGTAGAAATTTTATACAATTATGCGTGGAAGGTTATTACCATGACCCTATATTTCATATACAAGGTGGTGATCCCACAGGTACAGGAGAAGGTGGTAGAATATATGGATAACCATTTAAGGTGAGACTATATTTAAAAGTGAAATGAATTGCTTTTTTATTGAAAAATAATTATTGGATATATGTGTTTTAGAACGATTTTCGTACAAGATTACGTTCCTGTGGATGAGGTTTATTTGTTATGGCTAATGCTGGAGAAGATGACAATAGTTCCCAATTCTTCTTTACTCTTGGTTCTACATTGGAATTGCAAAATAAACATACAATCTTTTGTAAGGTTACTGGAGAAACTATACATAACATGCTTGAACTTGAAGAAGCACTTGTAGATGAGGTAAATTTAATGTTTACATGAAAATATATCAAGAATTGATATAAGTATAATATTTCCTCCTTTTCTTGTAGAATGATAGACCACTTTATCCTCCAAGATTGTTAAAATCTATAATATTGAACAATCCATTTTCTGTTATTATATCAAGAATAATAGTACAGAAAAGTGAAGAAGTAAAGGACAGTTCAAAAACTAAAACAGCAGTGGTAAAATAAAATTATATATGTTTGCCGAATTTAGCCCTGGTAGTATTATTCCTTGCAATGCAAAATTTTGTTACAGAGATTTCAATGTTTTATCATTTGGTGAAGAAGCAGAGGAAGATGAAGAAGAAACTGTGATATTAAATAAAAAGTTTCGTGGTAAGGCAAGTCAGCTCGCCATCATTTAACTGATTCAAAATTAAGCTCACAACCAGCTGTTGAACCACCTAAACTTGCAATTAAAAAAAGGAAGGAAAATCATAGTAGTAATTAGGAATGTGACGACGAAGTAAAACCAAAAGAAGAATTAGAAGTTATAAAGAAAGGGAAAGA